GTATAAAATTCATTGTAACTAGGATAAATTTAGAAATCATTGGCAAATTTTTTGATTTGATTGATAATTTCCAATATTCCAAGCACCAATTATTGCCAAAGAAAGGAACCAAAGTGAAACAATTGGCGCAAACAATGCTCCCATTTTACTTGTGCCAAATTTTTGACCTATAAATAATAGCACAATAATAGCGCAACTTAATGGTACAATGGCATTAGTTAAACTTGGAGCAGGTACAGACATTCCTTCTACAGCAGACATTACAGAAATAGCTGGAGTTAACAAGCCGTCACTCATAATCAATGAAGCGCCAAGTAACACTAATATTAACAAAGCATCTTGAACAAACTTGCTTCTGGCAATTATATTTTTCTTCTCTTTTAAGCTGTGAATCGATTTTGAATCATAATTCATTATAGTTAAATCATCAGATCTTTCGTTTTCTCGAACTGATAAACCAGAATGTCTAAATTTTTTAAAGGTTTTTTTAGTATTTATTCTCCCTCAAATAAATTAAAGTTGGAAAAAAAATATGGTTAGAATTACCTGCATATTAAAGAATAAAGAGCAAATGTACCACCCATACCATTATCATCAGCTCTTAAGATGATAAAAATATATTTTATCATAGGCAAAATTGTCTAATTGATATGACGAAGAAGAAAAAATGGCGATGTTCACAAAGAACAATAAAAAAGTATAATAATTTGCTGATTAATAAATGATTACTAACAAAAAAAAGGCTACAAATTATTTATTGATCAATTGATTTTATTATATTTACCAATGACCAAATAATTAAAGACACAGCACCTTAATTAAACAATTGATATTAGAACAGTATATATCAATTAATTTAGCTAATAAATCGTAAATCGCTTATTATCATATTTTTTACCTAGAACATCACTTTCATTTGGTGGACTCGTAAAAATAGTATTGATCGTGTATAAAGGCGATGTTCCAATGTCACCATAAATCACACCTTTTATTTGTCACACATTAAAAGAATGTTAATTAATTATCGTGATTAATAATATAATATGATAGAACAAAATAAATACCAAGTGCTTTGAAAGCAAGGATTAAAGTCGCACTTGATAAATACGACTAATTATTGAAAAATTAATATTTTTTAAAAAAATTAGAGAAAATTTTTAATTAAAAAAAAAGAGAATTAAATATTACATCTGGTTTATTATTATCATGTCGTTTTTCAAGGTCATTGCTAGTTAATTCAATGGTATTGGTATTTTTTTTTTTAAAATCGGTCATGTTTATAAGATAATGATAATGATAATTTAATGAAAAAAAAAAACAAAATTGAATTATTTTTATACGAAATATTTTTCTAATCAATAGATCAAGCGCCATCAATAATAAGTAAATAAAGCACACATTTTATTGGATCGATCAACTGATTACATTATTTGTTTACAAAAAAAAATATATTTTTCTTTATGGAATTTCTGAAACGAACAATATAACTGAAAACTTTAAATTCTTTACATTAATTATTAATTCCAGTTAACAAATGATGTACAAGTTGATAATCGCTAAATTCATAATAATAATAAATAAATAATTGTTGGTATACATTAGTTCCAAAAGCAAGCATATTCTTTTCTTGTGATATAATTAATAATATCTTTATTGTTGCTGGTTGAGCAATTCATCAGATATAGTTATTCAATTTGATGAGAACCTATCAATTTAAAAAGCGTTAACGACAATGAGCAACATTAAGCTTTGTAGTCATTAGAATTATCAAACTCATAATCAATATAATAACAACAAGATTTTAGCAGGGGTGCGCAGTGAGCTATTGTGAAACTCCTCATTTGTTGTTATTACAAGGCAATTCCCGTTATAATGACAAAAACTAAATTTATATTTATAAATTTACGCCCGTTATAATGACATGTCAGTATAATAGGAGAACCAATCAATATCATTATTTTGATTATTTTATTGATTAGTTAAAAGCGAAACCATTATTCATTCTTGGGAGAAGGTTGATATTTTACCAAAGATGATTTAGATGATTACATTGATTATGAAAATAGTGAGGATAATATTGAATTAAAGTTGCAAAATATAATAAACGAATATTATAAAGAATCAATAACAACTACGGTGCAGATCATCTATAATCATTAATTGCTTATAGTAACAATTGGTCAACTTCAAAATACTAAAACAAAAAA